TCCTTCCTTTCCTTTTCTACATGACATGTTTCCTGTTTATTTCCACAATGCGGCTGGAGTTGTTTTCTTCTTTTTGGAGACTCTCTGATCCTGCATTCTGATACAGTTATCCTCCCCTTTATGCCTTCATTATGTCAAGTACACACCTCTACTACAACATTCAACAGACTTTATTATACGTATTCATGCATGTCTGTCTCTTTTGCTATACCAGGAGCTCCTTTCAGGTAGGAGTTACGTTTCATTTTTTGTCCATGTATAGCTCTAAGTTGAATGCTTTGCACACTATGGGTTCTCATTAAATTCAAGTAGAATAAATGGAACCTGCAAGAATTAACAAGTATCAGTGTCCAGTGAGTAGTATGAGATGGCAAAATTTGGTTAGGACTAAGGCAAAGGTTGGCCAGCTCACACTGATCAGTCATGGAAACTGTTCACTTCTGGCACAGTCCATAATTGGGCAGCTAATAGATATTTCACACAGCGCGAAGACCATACAGACTTGGATTTCACACAAGTGATACCAGCTAGTTGCTTCAGCAAATAACAGCCACCATTTTACAGAGAGATACTTTAGTATAGTCTGAAAGATAGCCATCCTTGACACTATAAATTTATTATCTGGGCTAAGGATGAGTAGTCTCTGTAAAATATACAGCTATATCTTTTTAGCCAATTATTCTGCTTCCTGAGCTTGATGTTAAACATTTAGCTTTTCCTCACATCTAAAGCTTATATTTTCTGGTACTGCTTCCACAGGAATCCTGGTGAGGTTTCAGATATTCCCCTTTGTCAATGATATAATTTATTGTTGCATGTACACTGTCTCTTACCTTCTCTAGTTAAATAACTATGTACAATAATGCTTAGTTGTTGTTATTTTTTCTTGCCCCCCTTTATTATGGACGTTTGTCTGATGTTATTATATCTAGCCCCAAACTGATAAACAGAGGAAAAATGCTAGTAGATTTTCCTATAGGAAAATAAAAGAACAAATGGCCAGAAAATCAATGACTTCCCAACATCTAACTTGTATCTCTTACACACAAAAATGTAACTCCTGGGGAATGGAGCTGGGAAGGAATGGGCTTCCCCTTAGAATTCTGGTAAGGGAAAAATATCTCCAATTAAATCTGTCCCTGTTGCAAGGATATTTAAGAGAATCAAGAAGGAAAAAGAATGATCCATGCTCATTAGGTAGCTAGATCTTTTTGAAGTGAAGCTAAATAACTTAGGAATTGAATATGCCATTTTAGGGATATTCAAATGGGAAGCTTGAACACATTCTTGGATTTATTTTTTTCAGGAACTGATAGTCTAAGTTTCAAACTGGTAACTTGGAAAATAAACTTTGGAAATACATTTCATTTGTAGGTTGGAATAGTGTTCACTCAAAAATAAGATTTTGGAAGGAACAAAAGAATATAATTTTTCTGTTTAGAGAATGGGTGGTCATAAGTAAAGCAAGGTGAAGTATACTTTAGCTGAAAAAAAATGTCACTTTTTTCCATTGTACTTTAAAAATTTTGGTAATTATGTTGAAGGTGAAGAAGATGCATGAGTAGTTTGGGCTGCTGAGAAAATAGGTAAGACAGGCAAGTATTCAATATTGAAGAGATTGATTTGGTGGGATATGGTAGAATTTTGAGAGACCCATCAGTCATGGGTAAAACCACCTGGAGCCTTTTCCAGAAGAGAATTCATTTTCTATTCCACTTATCTGGCCATACATTCCTTTGCTTCCAGTTTTCACAGGCTTTTCCATTAGGCTGTTTTCTTAACAAAACTATATATTGACAGAGCGGAAAACAATTTCCACCTCAAGGCTCTGGACCCCTCACTTGATGTGCACCCAGAGACACTGCAGTGTCAGTTCACTCTGTACATTTAAATTGCCAGTAATTACATGATATTCCAAGAAGAGCCAACAAGTCTGTGTTACTCTGATTAAACCAAATTTCTTCCAAATTTTCTGGAACTAAGGGAGTTTCCTTTGGATTCCAGTGAAGGGTCAACAGGTCAGGCCCATGTTGGTACAAGAAAATTGGAAATTAAGGAATAATGATGTTTTCTGGGCACTCTCTCTGAGCTTTTTTTGCCACCTAACAATAAAGCTGGCACTATTTTCTCTATCTGAAATGCATTCTCTTTTGTCCTTTCCTTTTCTTTTTTCTTTCTTTCTTTTTTTCTTTCTCCTCCCCACCTCCTTCTCTCTCTGTCTCCTTCTCTCTTTCTTGCTTTATTCCTTTTTTTTTTTTTTTTTTT